GTCGTCCCCAACGGCCGCAGCCCGCCGTGGGGCAGCTCCCCGCGCCGCCATCGCCCGCGGCCGCCTTTGTCCGGCGCCCCTCGCCCACGGGCGCGCGGCCCGTGAGGTAGCGGCGGCCGCCGCGGAGCCCTCCGCGCCCATGGGATTTGAGTGGGTCGCGCAGGCAGCTGCCCTCGCCGTCCACACTGGTCACCTGAGGGCAAAGGCAGCCGGCGCCGCGCTGTGCGCCTGCAGCTGCTCTGCGGCGCCTTAGCCCAGAGCCCAAGGAGTACGGCTGAGGGATAAATCCACAGCCGGGAGCTGGTAATGGTTGGAGCTGGTCTGGTTCCACAGATGAATCAGCATTCGCTTGCAGAATAGCTGCCACGGGGTCCGGTTTGCAAAGTGTCCTGAGCACCAGCTTGAAGAGGTTCTTTCTTTTTTTTTTTTCTTTTTTTTTTTTTTTTTTAATTAATTAATTTATTTATTTATTTATTTTCCCTCAGTGAATTAGTTAAAATAACACCAGAAGTTAAAATTTAACCCACTTTGTAACCCAGGGGTTATTCTGCCAAGCAACTAGTGCCCTCCGTTTGGACAAGCTCATGGTCTGTCTTCAATTTAGAGATGTGCGTCTGGGGAACATTGAATGTGCAGCATAGGTAGCACTAAATCTTTGACACCTTTATGAACATGGATTCTAATTAATCGTTTGTATCTTCAGAAGGAACAACTCCAATTCCTGTTTCAGAATGAACATGCATGCAATTTTGGTAAAGATTTTATTTGCCAAAGATTTCCTTACCTCTAAAAGGAAGTTGAGGGACGTGTATAAACAATGTACATGGAAACAAATAAATGTAGAAGGATACACATACAGACTTACCTACACACACATACAGACTTACCTACACACACATTTGTTTTACTGTCCTTATGTTGTTTTCTTACTTGGGTGTTTTTCTTATATTTTCCTGTCAGTATTTCTTTTAATTGTACCTATTTTCCACTTTTAGCCATAATTCATTGTATCTTTGCACATATGCGGTTCACACAGCTGAAGCTCTGCATTTATCTGACTAGGTTGAGGTTGAGGAACATGGTTTATATGCTGACATCATACTCACTGTTCCTGCGTATCACTTCTTCATAAATACACAGCATATGTCAGGCTACACACATTCCTGCTGTGGTCCTAGATGGTTTCCTGCTATATGAAGTTGCTTGTAAATCGGTTATGTGGGCTAGAGCTGTGGGATGTTAGCAGACATTCACACCTTACAATTGCAAAAAAGAAAAAAAAGCAACCTGAGGAATCACATATCACATACCAGAGTTACAGTCCGAAAAATGGCATGGAAATGTTGCAGCAATTAGGTTTTTCTTCCCCCAGCATGCCCTTTTTCTTCTGAAAATGAAGGAGGAAACAGAAAAGTTTCAGCCTGTTTCTGGGGAACATATGGACTCCAGTGTAATTTGTTATCAGACCCTGCTGTGCTGACTAATGTGGCATTCAATTACTCTGCAGTGGGGGTTTTAAGGTGTTTTATCGTGTTTAAGGGGCAGGAATGAGGCTTCTGCACAAAGCTGCTGTCTCGTTCCTTGTGAGCAGACTGGGAATAGTCTTTTTTTTTTTTAATGTCTCTACTTCATACATATGAAAAGTGGGAGGGAATATGGAAAAAAAATATCCCAGTTATGTAAGCTGGAAACAGAGCATCTGACTCAGCAGAAGGATTTTTCTGTTATGTTGCTTGTCAGACCTGTTTCTTTGGTATTAAAGGCAGAGTGCTGAAAGGCACTTACGCTGCCCAAAATAGTTCTTTTCATATCATTTAAATTACCCAGAGCTAATGAACAAAAGTGTTGGTTTCAGTCCACTACCCTCCAATAAAAAAGGCAATTAATATAACTTACTTAACACTGTGAAGTCAAGTGCAACCACATAATTACATAAAGAAGAAAAAAATCCCCAAACTTCATAGACGTTTAAGCTACCTAATTATGCACAGTTATAGGAAAGCATATTGTTAACCAGTACAGTTTCCTCTGCACGGAGGAACACAGGCAACAGCCAGAAGAAAACTGGAAAAAAATCATTTGGTTGAAAGCCAAAATAATTAGCATACGTTCATGATAACAGTGAGAGTGGGAGGTTTGCAGAAGGTGACACCCAAATATCTGCAGATGATTTTCAAATGAGACTCACCTTGAGTCAGTGGAGTTGCTGAATTACATGGCGGGAAGACAAGCACGTAACAGAAGCTTTTATTTGGAAAAAAAATTGCAAGATTTTTAACTCCATTATTTGCACCTGAAAACTGCATTTCTAAAATGGTTCCATGCCAGCAGACAAACAACTCTCTCAGTTGCTTCAAATACACAACACACAAAATCTTATCATTTATGAGCTCTTTGGCTCCTCTACATACAGAGTTAGCCTGCCCACAAAAAAATAACAATTATGAAGTCGCTTTCCTTCTCTACACCTCTGTGTGATACAAGGCTAGGCACTTAAACCAGTTGCTTAAAACTAATTTTCAGAACTGAATTACAATGCAGAATAAAATTGCATTATCTGTTCAATCAGGAGTTTGACATTTTAGATGAAAATCATTAAGGATAGATCTGTCCCCAAATCCGCTTCTGTTTCTGTTGTCTACCTGCTCATCTCACACGACAGAGGCACTTTCCTACGGCAGGGAAAAACACTAAGCTCGTCCTTGCACCAGCAGAGGAGGTGGGGAGTGAGCGCTGACACCAGCCTGGGTCCACGTTGTAAATGAGAGGAAAATAGAGCGAGCACTTGCCTGTCCAGTGTACCAAATGAAGCTGAAGTCCCCAGATTAATAAGTGATTGTAAAATTAAAGTCTTTACAAACTGAAATACACATCTTACAAACTGAAATATACATCTTACATCTCTTTTTTTCCTGGATTAAAACATCAAAAAGGCAAATTGATTGTCTGCGGTCTTGTTCAGACACGTGTACAACAGAGGTAGATCAGCACTAAAATCTCTGTATTTGCCTCACAGGTCTCCGACCCTTGCTCTAAGGGAGCTGCAGCGGACACAGAAGTCCCAGTGCCACAGCCCAAGGACGGCTCTTTGGTTTGTTTTACTCTATTGTTTGTTTTGTCACCAGAACTCTTTCATGGAGAAGTGGTGTGACTTATCTGTCTAGTCCGTGTTTCCTGTCTCTGATGAAGATGCCTTTTCCCTGCATAAATACTAGACACCCATTAGTTCTCCAAGACACTATGAGGTCACTTTCACATCCCCATCTGCAGCTGCTTTTACTTCTTCTGCACTATTTCGTAAGATAGCTGCAGTTCTGAAGCTTATTCTCTTTGCTTGCAGGTTGCTGATCTCTTGGCAAGGCTGGAGCAGACAGATGACTCCAGTGCCATACAGCTGTGCCGGACAGAGGTACCTCATTCTTCATCCTGTGCCCTCTCTTGGCAATATGGGCTCCCTTATTTCTTCAAAGGCTCTAGCGCAGGTCAAATGAGCAGCAAAGCAGAGCCACAGCTGCCTGCTGGGCTAGAAAACTGTCTTTCTCATGCCTAGACTCCAGTTTTGCAGCTGCAACACACAAACCTGGCCTTTAATCAAGGCTTTTGAAGTGCACCTGCAGGTTGCTTGCGTGCACAGGCGCTGTGCCCGGTGCATAGTGTTTCTTCCGAAAGAAACACGGACAGCTTCCCACCATCCTGCCTGGTCCAGTTAATGCAGATCCAGGCTCGTGTGGCCACTCAAGGCAAGAGGCCCTGGCTGCCGTTACTTACAATGTGCTCAGGGTCTGTTTGCACAAAAACTATTCTGCTTCTCCCACTGGCAAAGCAGGCAGCATTCCTACCACGTGTGGGCACAAATCATGCCTTTAGCCAGCTCTGGCACTTGCTTACAAGCTGCGCTGTCATCTGTGGGCATATTGGTGTATTTATGTAGACACCAGGATTGTCCTTTCTTTCTCTGTTAAGAGCTGCTCCTTTCTAAAGACAAGAGATTTTGGAAGTGTATTTGGTGATGACTGTTGCGTGTTGAAATGGGTCATAATTCTGGATTTATGTTAGGCAGCAGTTCTCAAAAATGAGCAGTGATCATTCTGTGGAACAGGGGAATTACCATTTGGTAAACTTCTGTGAGGAGATTTACTAGAAGAGATATACACTTCTAAAACAGACATTTCATTGATGTTCTGTGGCTTGTACCTCGCCCTTTGACTGTGAACACTTGGGGCATGACATTCAGTGTCTAAATGAGGGAATATCTGAGATCCAGATGCTTTCCTACAACATACTTTTTATTTTTAATCTTGGTCTCCTCAGTCTTTTTCCACCCAGGATAGAACATCACAGCACTACTTCGCTTGCTGTGGCAGCATGCAAATTGGCAATGAATTTTGTACCATATGGCAAGATAGGACATGTCTGCAGAGCGAAACAGGGGACGCTGCATCCCCAGAGATGAGATGCTGCATCCCAAGAGCACCACTGAACATCTTGCAGACATCCCTGCCAGGGCAAGAGCATTTGAATGTTCACTGCACAGCCCAAGGACATCCTCTTTGTGGTGCAATTCAAAGC